CACTAGTCAGCTCGATCCTGCAAAACAAAGACCCATCAGCCCATTATCTCAACACCAAACGAAAAGAAAAGAAACTCACGCAAACCCCAACCCAACCCTCCCAAACTGCACCGAATGTTCCAACGAGAACCCCTCCGCATCGATCGTATCCGTCGCCGTATGCACATACTTATTGCTCACCACCCCCATTTGCGCCTCGAACGGGAACGCCGCCGGAAACCCGTTCGCCGTCCAGCTGGCGTGGTCGGAGCACGCGTAGCCGCAGCGGGAGTCGGAGGTAGAGAGGGTGCTGTAGGAGGAGACGAGCTGGCGGACGAAGGAGGTGAGGGGGGTGGAGACGTTGTCGGTGACGAGGGAGAAGGTGGGGACTTCGCCTGGGCTATTGGGGGGAGACGAAGGAGTTTAGTAGGATGAGATGAGAGAGGGGAGGAGACACGCACAAAGCTGTCATATCGAGCTGGAGGACGGCTTTGACGACTTTCCCTTCTTCGCGGTAGGTCGATGCAATATCTTGCGACCCCAGAAGTCCGACTTCCTCGCCACCGTAGAACATGAACTCCAAGGGCGTAGCGGGCTTGTACCCGGACTTGGCGAGAACGCGGATGATGTCGATAAGGTTGACCGTGCCCGAGCCATCGTCGTCTGTCGTACGAAGGGTCAGCACCTGAAGAACAGAATGGAAGTGAGAAGAATCGCACCTGCACCCGGAGCCCGCCCAAGCGTCCTGTTCGACCCGTTGATAGAATCCATGTGTCCACCGAGAATCGTCAGATCGCCCTCTGGATCAGCAGCCGCAAACTTGACGATCGTCGAGGGTTGGCGGAACTCATGCTGGAAAGGAGTCACTGTGATGTCGTCGCGTCCTGCATCGCTGGCAATCTAATCCAAGGAGGCGATGAGTACATGCAAAGCGTGAGCTGTAGCAAGTGGTAGTGCCAGACGTACCGCAGCAACCCTATCGACGATCCACTTCGCAGCGTCGACGCCATCTTGCGTCTCGTAGTACCGGTTGTGGAACGCGGTGAGCTCGACGAGATCGGCGCGCTGGTTCTCAACGGATATCTCGGACAGCAGGGGCTCGACTACGTCCTGGTGGGAAGGCTCGGGGTCTGGTCGGGTTTTCACGCGTCAGTACGTCGCCAAGGGATTGACTGTATGTACTTACAGTCAAAGGTCTTCGTCTTCGGAGAGCCGAGCTTCTTCGTACGTTCCCAGGTGTGCGTGACGTCCATCTAGCAGATAAATTGAGATCAGTGAAAGCTCAAGAGTGGTGCAAAAGAGAAGGCAACGCACAAAGTTGGTGTTACTCTGAACCAATTCCATCTCCTCGTCGAAAGTCATCCATGTGGGTTCTTCTTCGGCACTGAGCTTGACGAGATGCAAGCCCTGGGCGGACTTCTGGTTGACCTCGTCGGCGGCGACGGGAATAGCGGCAGCAGCACGCAACGACGCGCCAATAGCGAGGAGCTGGGCGACTCTCATGACTGATGACGATGAGGAGGAAGGTGACCAGGGTGGTAGCAAAGACTTGGGAGGCGAGCTAAGCCCCTCAGCTAGCTATATATGTAGAGACCAACCGCGCCGAGGTAGAAGAACATCACTTCTTCGGCTGTGTCGCAAATACATCCATCGTGGTTGCTCGATAAGACATCGCAAGGTGAAGGCGGCGTTATAACACACGGATGGAGCCCCATGATCCCTTTGCTGAATTGTGTTTGGTCAGAAGGTCTGGAATCGAAGAGGAGATGGTTGCGCCGCACATGTTTTGAGGGCTTCTCATGACGAGCAGCCGCGTGTGTTTGGATGGAGCAGAGGATGGCGGTTGGAGTCAAGTTTTGGCACCGCGGCTGAGCTCTGGCTTGGCGTCTTCGGGTGGTGATCATCGCGGACGCCGCTTTGTTCCTCCACTCATCTCGCGAGCAACTCTCGTCGTGCGAACCTTCGACTCTCCTCGTGTGGTGTGAAACCTGAGTCAGAAGTGTGGTAACGGCACTTGCTGCTCAACATCATCCAAACATGGCACTAGAAACAGGCAGTTGTGAAATAGATCAACTTGCGGTCAGTCGCATGCAAAAAGCTACGTTGCCAACTTGTAACAAGCTGGAGCTTTCTGATATATATGGAAGAGGTTTGAACAGCCTTCTTAGGACCTCTGGCACCTAGGATCCATCAAGTGTACACCTAGCAGGACTAGGCTCACTGTCGGTCATACCGCCCTTACTTGAACAAGGCATGCCGAGCTCCAGGGGCTGACCAGGTCTAGATTGTGTCATTGTTATACTGCATGCTGTGGTATGGGGCATGGTATGGGATAGGAGGTGTAGATTTTGAGTGATGAGGGAGCTGAGACTGAGCATCGCGGCTTGAGATCAGGAGAAGGTGAAGCTCGACTTTCGTCTGAATCAATATTAATCCGGGACTCCCGTGCTCAAGATTTCTACTGATACCGGCTGCGATGTTCCAACGAGGTGCGTGCCGAGCATCTACTGAGCTCGTAATTCTCGAGAATCCATTGTCGTCGACGCGCGCAACCGCCAGCCCAATAACCCGTTTGAGTTTCGGCCTCACAGTAGCTGGTCTGTATACATCATGATCACGAGCAGTATACGCTGTTTCTACAAGAATCCGCTTGTACTCGCGTAAGCAATCGCAACGCTTGCCATACCCAACTCGAAGTTCTCGAGCTCAACCTCGCGACGCCTTTATCGCCAACTCGGCTCACCTGAGCCCGTCGGTCGGGATTCCCAGGTGGCCGGCCCGACGTCAATGTTCACCGGTGAATTCAATGACAGCGTCATAATCAGGCGCCAACGCTCCTCGCGTGGAGATATGCAAACCGACCTCTTCTCTCAACCACCACCACAATCGTCACCACCGCAATCATGGGCATCGCATACTCCGCCTACAGCGAAGGTTTCCCGCCTAAACCCCACTTCGACCCCGGCCGGGATATCCCTGACCTGAAAGGCCAGGTTATGATCGTCACTGGCGGTGAGCTCATCCCAGCATTCGAGAAACCAAGAAGGTTTACGCGTTTCTCTGGCAGGTTATGCTGGGATAGGACACCATACTGTTCAGGTGACTCTCTACACTGCTCTCTTCACTACGTCTCGTTTACTCACGCGTCTGCTGTGCACTGTGTAGGCGCTGCTGAACAAAGGCGCAAAAGTCTACATCGCAGGGCGTAGCAAGGACAAGGCCCAGAAGGCCATTGAGCAGCTGAAGCAGGAGACTGGTGGCAAGGAGGCTCTGTTCCTCGAGCTAGACCTCGCGGATCTGAAGAGCGTCCAGAAAGCTGCTGCAGAGTTTGTCAGGTGCGTACTACCCTAGTATAACCCACATCTATCCCCGTCTGACATACTTTTGAAAACCTCGGTAACAGACTCGAACCAAAACTCCACGTCCTGTTCAACAACGGGCAAGCCGCCCTCCTCCTCTCTTCACCTCACACCCGCTCACATCACATGTCGCATCTAGCGGCGTAATGACCCCCCCAGTCGAGCAAATCACCGCCGACGGCTACGACCTCCAATTCGGGACCAACGTCCTCGGGCACTTCTACTTGACCAAGCTCCTCCTCCCCACCCTCCTCGCCACCGCCAAAACCACCTCCACCGGCAAGGTGCGCGTCGTGAATACGTCGTCGATCGCGCACAGGTTTGGGGATTTGGACTTTGGGACGTTTAAAGGTGTGTACATGCGCCCTTTTTTTGCTGGTAGGAGGTTTTGGGAGGTTAGGCTGAATACAGATGGTGTGCAGAGGGACCGGCGAGGAAGAAAGCGTACACCAGCCAGTTGTACGCACAAAGTAAATTCGTACGTGCTCGTCCTCTCCTTCCTCCTATTGATTGGGCTCATCGTAAACAGGGTAACGCCGTATTCTCACGCGAACTCGCAAAGCGATACGGAGACCAGGGGATCGTATCAACAGCCTTAAACCCAGGTTCGTCCCCTCCTCCCGTCCCCATCTGCATCCGTTCTGACGACTGAGCTACCTTGACAGGTAACCTCCGAACCGAACTCCAGCGACACAGCTCGTCACCGATCGAGCAGCTCATGTTTGTACGTCCACATTCAGCCATATTCATCTAGTGTCACGGTGATCTGACGAAAGAAATCTCCTCTACAGAGACTGGTATGCTATGAGCCGCATTACGGTGCGCTGACTCAGTTGTGGGCGGGTACGGCGGAGGAAACGGTGAAATACAACGGAGATGTATGTTTCCTTATCCTCCCTCTTTCTTCGCTTCTCTTCTCCTCCCTGTTCAGTCTCTTCTTGATTGAGCACGACGCTAACCCAAGGATCACTCTCCCCTTCTAGTTCCTGATTCCCTGGGCAAGACTCGGAGCTGTGAAGCCCAAAGCGAAAGACGAGAAGCTGGGTGCGGACCTGTGGACGTGGTTGGAGGAGCAGGTGAAGGATGTTGGGCAGTAGTGAAATTGGGTTTGTGGTGTACTTCACAGATTGGACCTATTAGTAAAGACTGGCAGGGCGTCGAGAAGTAGATCATTTTTCAGATTCGTCAGAGCGCGTACTGAATGCCACTGGACTCCCTCCCCTTCTGGCTTCATCTCGGGCTTTCGTTGTCTCCACTTCGTAGGGTAAGCGTCGCGAACTCTTTGATGACGCGAGAGCCTCTGAAGGCCGCTGAACAGATGCTCTACAACGTACACGTCCCTAGTGGACACTAGCTGTACCGTATAACAGTTAACTGCATATGCATGCGGCAGGCGTTCGAGACCAAGCTGAAACCAAGAGTGCTCAAGTCTCATAGAAGTTAGAACCTCGGCGATAAACTAGAATTGCGAACGATTGGAAGTACAAAGTACAACTGAAGGGCCCGGGGAATCAGAACTCACCACCACGCCATCGAGGTACAAGTACTACGGTGGAGACACTGGAGGCTCGAGCGATAGATGCCAGTGTTCTTGCGCTAAGTTACTGCCTACGTGTGCCCGTTGTGTAACAGGGGCAAAAACATTGGCCTGGGTCTCTGAAATCCCCGCTGCCCGGATCGAACGGGCGACATTCAGATGACTTGATATCCATTACAGTCTGACGCTCTTCCAACTGAGCTAAGCGGGGTATACGTGTTTGTGCAAGTGTGTATATATATTCTTTTAAATATTCTCCCAGACAGACTTGGATCTCGCGCAAATGGTGATCCGCTGTCCTAAACCTCGTCTCAACTTTGAACAATCTCAGAACCTGCTTCACTACATCCATGGCTACTGTCGTAAAACGTGCGCTGCAACGTTGCGGATGCAAGCAATGCGCTGACCTTCGCCCTAGATCGCATGAGGCGGAGTACACCACTGGCACGGAATCATCTTAACTCGAACGACCCGCCGCTTATGGGCCATGGCTTCTGGCCGACCCGCGGTATGTATGGCCTCACATTCTCCTCTTCTCACAGCTTACTCACCAGTCCTATGTGTAGTGATTACTGTATAGGCTAGACAATGGCTGAACAGTGTCCAGCTGGTCTCGCTTGTCGCACTCAGCTGCAGAGGCATGTCTCCGAGCGCCCACCGACACGGAACCTCCGAGGCCCGACTTTCTTCTCAGCGCTTCATAACCTTCACTTGCATGCGACGCACTGCAGTCTGCAGATAAAACCACCCGTCTGCATATCTTCTGCCGTCTTCCTTGCAAAGTATCGGAACAACACTCACAATCGAGCGCCGGCTAAAGGGGTTCGCTCATCTGGTCCCACAGCAGCCTGTTTCTCCTGCGATACCTATCCTGACTCGGGTTGTAGTGGGTGAAAGAGCTTTACCCACCCCATGCCCCCTTGTTTCTGCGCCCGGTGACACCCACAGATTGGCGAGCCAATCTATTGGTGAACCCATTGACCATGGGACTGAGCAAGGACTGAGGACAATCAGAGACTTGAATCTCAATGGCCATGTCTCGACGCAATGGGGTCTGTCATCGGTGGTGGTATAAAATGCGGTGGGAGACGCTGGGGGTTGATGCTTTTCCCGCTCTTATCGTGTTTACCTTCGGTGGGTACAGTCTTTGTTCTTCGTGAGGACCCCTTCACTGAACCGCTTCTGCTTCAGACTAACCCAACACTCACCAACTAACAACTGACCAACGACAATGACCCCCCTTCCCATCGAACTCCTCGAACTCATCATCTCCCACGCCTGGCACTTCCCCGCCTACAGCGCCCCCCTCCCCCCACGCTTCTCCAAATCATCTCTCCTCCCCCACCTCAGCCCCACCTCAACCCCCTACACCCTTTCCGTCCAAGAACGCATTCACCTAATGCTCGCCCTCCCCCTCACCTCCAAATCCTTTCTATCCATGTACCTCCGCGTCTCCTCCCGAGACGTATACATCCCCAGCCCATCATACGCGGAACATTGGATGCAGCGAATCGTCATGGGCTTCAACTGGCCTGAGTCGGCGTATCGACCGCTGTGGCTGGCGGTGGGTTGTTCAAAGAGAGAAGAGTTCTTAGACGTCGTATGCGAGAGCGTTAACTTCGTGTTGGACCCGCGATCACTCGGTATGGCGAAATCGAGTATGCCCGTGGGGGTGTTGGAATCGATGGTCAACAGAACCTTATACCAGGTTAACTGCTCGAATAACTTGCCTGAAATGAGAACCGTGGGGATCGAGATTCTGGAGCGGGAGATTCCGTCGGGGAGGGCGGTGATTAGTGCGAAGAAGGCGTTGGCGAGGGGTGGTGGTACCGGTGGGTATGGGAGCAAGGGGAAGGGGTTGATGGGGATTGTGGAGGAGTATGTGGTGGAGGATATGTTGGCGGATTGTGTGCCGCCGCAGGTGAGGGTGTTGGAGGTGGTGTATCATATTCCGACGGGGTGTACGAGGATACGGAGGGTTAGTCTTTGAGCGGGTGGATTCTTGGATTCTTCGCGTTCTCGACACTTGTGGTATTATTCTCTCTCAATCAAATCGTTTGCTTTGTAAAATTCTTTGCCGTTCTGAGTACTGTCTTCGGTTCTTCACCGTCTGAACGGGCACTTCATTCGAATCCTCTGGTTCTCGACGCTTGTACTATTCTCTCTCAAGCAGATCCCTTTCTATGCAAAAACTCTTTGACATTCCAAGCACTCGCTTCGGTTCGTCGGTCAGAAGCTCCGCGACGATGACGATACCCAGGCACCTTGGTCGGTCAACGTCAATCTGACTACATGCACATTGAGAGATACTCTCAGTTTCAGGATTCCATTGCCGTGCTTTGTTAGGCGTTGCCAGTGGTAGATCTCCGTATGCAGTCGATCTGCATACTAAATACAACCTACAGCGCTTAGCAGTGTATGCGTATTGCCGCCGTCCTGAGCCAGTTCTCTACAGTAACCATCTACGTTCCCATTGAATCAACTTTGAACACCAGGGCGGCCCCAGGCACGGCCCCGGCCTCCTGAAGAATTTCTTCACTATGACGCCGTCGTCTCGCCACCCTCTTCCCGTCTTTCACTTCTCCTCATCTCTCCTGATGGATCTGCAAAGACGTGATGCGCATCTTGTTAGCGGAACCTTGGCGGCTCCGCTCCACACTGCGGTTGGCGGGGGCATCCGCGCAACCCTCCATTCGTGCGTTTCGGATCGCTTTGAGGCTGTATTCACTCGAGGCCGGAACCACCGCTCGCCAGGTGAAATTTCATCAACGTACTGCGTCCGGATCCGCTATGGCTTCTTCTTCTTCTCTGTCTTCGACCACCATCACGCCCGCCATGTTCATCGTCGACGATTCGGACACGAGGATTCAGTACACCGGTAATGGCTGGCTGCCGGGGGGGAATCACGATCGGGAATTCGCTGGCAGCACACACATTTCTAGAACGAAGGGCGACACGGCTAGTTTGTCTTTCAACGGTGAGTGTCCTGACCCTTTTTTGCTCGTCTGATCGCGGTGGCATTTGTCTGAACCTGGGTATTTTTATCTCAGGGACGCGAGTAGGCGTGTACGGAACGCGTCGCGCACGGGGCAGGATGGCGTCTGTGTCGTGTGTGCTCGACGGGATCACCCTGCCTCTTTACACCTCTGCCAATGATTGGCCGATCAACGACACTTTCTTCCATGTCGAGTATTGTGCCGCAGACGTACCGGAAGATATGGAGCACACTTTGGTTCTCACCATCGAAGAGGACATGAGCTCGCGGCACTCATTTGTGTTGGACTACATCGTGTATGATGCGTCTCTCGGTGCGGATGTGGACCTTGTGCCTGTGGACGGTGGAGGGTTGAGTCGTGTTCTGGTGGATGATCGGGAGGAGGATAGGATTGAGTACGAGGGGACGTGGGAGCAGAAGGGCGGAGGGTACGGGCATACGGCACCGGGGTACGCTGCTAGCACCAGCACGACCAACACCGTTGGCTCGAAAGCTACCCTCAAATTTGAAGGCATTTGTCGCCGCTCTCCTCTATGTACCCCGCATCGTCTGAGTCGAATATCACAGGCACGGGTATTCGCGTATACGGAGCATCCACCAGGTCTAGGGCACCCAACAACAGTACCTGGGCGGCAAATTTCCGACTGGAGACTCATGTCAATACCTTTGCTGACGATGAAGAGTCGTCCAGTACCATTGTCACCACTCAACGCAGCTCCTCCGATGTCCCTACCACTCTACCCTTCGCCCATCTTCCGCTATTCCTCTCACCCGACCTACCCAATGGCGAGCATACGCTGACCATCGAGTACACCGAAGGCGACCGAGAGCTCGCTCTAAACTACTTCGTCTATGAAGTACCTGGCGATGTCAAACATGGGGGATCGGGAGACAGGCCGGGGGGCGATGACGATGCGCTGGTGAACGGGGATGGGGAGGAAGAGTTTGTACACGAGAGCGCGAACCAGACGGGGATGATTGCTGGTATTGCTGTAGCTGTTGTCGTCGTCTTGTTGGCGCTCTGCGTCATGCTAGTGGCTTACAGGAGGAAAAAGTCGAAGAGACGGCGCGCAGACCAGGAGATGAGGTGTACGTTTCCTCCCTTTCGTTCCTTCTTTCATGATGCTCATCAGATGGTTGAATCTCTAGCTGCGAACCCATTCTTTGTTGCGCCGCTCACAAAAACGTCGACCCAGTCAAAAGCCGCACCGCCTGCACACAACCCCTTCATGACGCCTCCTCTTCGAGACAGCACATCAGACAACGTCGTCGGACCCGTACGATTCGACTCTCCGATACGGAACAACCTTAACCACAATGAACCTGGCGGCTCCCGATCCGTCACGCCAGGTACGAACTCCCAGCCAGGATCTGCACCACCGACCCCAACGCCTGGACGCACCGTGTTCCGAGATGGTGGGGTGTCGTTGGCGAGGCAAGATCCGCCACCGTATAGAAAGCGTTGATGCAGATGCAGATGCAGATGCCGAGGAGTGGAGAAGGCGGGATGCGGCCGCTTTTGGAAATGATCGGAGCGCGCCTGGCTTCGGAGTCATCTCGCGTCGCATTCTTTAGGCGATTATTTGGCGACGCTTGTTTTTTCTTGCTCACGCGCGTTTCATGGACATTGTGATTGAGGATGGATACATAAGTAAGCGGCTGACACACGACTGGACCTTATAAATTATTCGCCCTGCGCTTTTCACCTGCTTGGCAAGCAATTTTCTGTAATATCGCAAGCAACTTTTACCTCTGCTACAGTAACCCCACTTCCTATTTACTGTAACCTGACTGTAACCATATTGTAGATCGGATGCCCTGATATGATGGTCCAAAACCGTTAGCGCTGAGAAGGAGACTCCGAGAGAGAGACTGCGTACAATTACGGGCCTGCCACGATGTCCAAATAACCTACTGTCCACAACGTTCGGCCAACCCCAGTGTGTGCTTCTCTGTACTTCGCTGTCACCAGTCAACTGCCCTTTCGCACCTGCTCTGTTCGTCGACGCTTCTGCTCACTGTCATGGGCACCATAATTGGTCTCCAGAGTGCCAACTTGAATTTCGCGTTGCTGGAGACACGCATGGCGTTCGGAGGCAACTCGCGCAGATCATTCGGGTCTCTTCCCACTGAAACTGTGTGAAATTCGCTGGTAAACCGTCGGATCGCTTACAGGGCGGCTGTACGCAAATCTCATCATACGCATCTTGCGGCCC